CCAGTCACAGGGTCAACATTCAGAGGCTTGGCAACTGGTTCTGCGACCTTCTGACAAGCAAAGTGAATCTGGGAAGCCAGATTCACTTAACAACCGTGTGACTTACTTAATGCAATGATTCACTTAACAGGGGCAAGGAAAGTCATCCAATGGGGCAAAACTCTCTTAACAAATGTTTCACTTAGCAACATAAACGTTGGGCTCAATTGCAGTTGTAACTCAAGGACTACCTGTACTCTTTAGGTGTTTTAGACTTCATCTCCCATTAGACCCAGCCAGCATGTCAGTAGCAATGGATAGTGGTAGTTTTAAACTTCTAGGTAAAGGTAAAGGTTCCCCTCGCACATACATGCTAGTCGTTTCCGGCTCTAGGGGACGGTGCTCATCTCTGTTACAAAGCCGAAGAAGCCAACGCTGTCCGAAGATGTCTCCGTGGTCATATGGCCAGCATGATTGAACGCACGGAACTCTGTTACCTTCCCACCAAAGTGGTCCCTATTTTTCTACTTCCATTTTTTTGCATGCTTTCGAACTGCTAGGTTGGCAGAAGCTGGGACAAGTAACAGGAGCTCACTCCATTACACGGCATTAGGGATTCGAACCGCCGAACTGCCGACCTTTCTGATCAACAAGCTCAGCGTCTTAGCCACTGAGCCACTGCGTCCCCCTTTTACATTTCTAGGCAGACCATATTCTGTGATTGACCTAATCAGGATAATCTCTATTGTCCTTAAATCCAGAAACGCTGCCTGCACAATTGATCTTTTGTGATCTCTACTTCATACTGTATTTTGGGGATTATTCGTAGGAGTGTGCCATGCAGATGACCTGGCGTCTAAAAACCATCAATAGGACTTCCTCCTAGGAATAGAACAGAACAGAATAACAGAGTTGGAAGGGACCTTGGAGGTCTTCTAGTCCAACCCCCTGCCTAGGCAGGAAACCCTACACCACTGCACACAAATGGTTATCCAACATCTTTTTTTAAAAAAAACTTCCAGTATTGGAGCATTCACGACTTCTGGAGTTGTCGTTCCACTGATTAATTGCTCTGTCAGGAAATTTCTCCTTAAATAAGTATTATTTAGGATCAGAGACCTTTTTGCTATACAGTTCAGCTCTGCTGCTATTTTAACAGATGCAGGGGACACAGAGGATCCCTTCAGAAGATGGAGCTGCAGTCAAAAATTACTTTAAAGCAGTTCTTCTCGATCTTGGCCACTTTAAGACATGTGGGCTTCCAACTCTACACCCTTGGTTTAGGTGAGCACTGAAAACCCCCTTTCTCTCGTTCCTCCCCCCCTTCCCCCTCCCCCCTTTGCTCTGGGGTGCAAGGAAGGGCCTTTGTGCCAAAGAACATGGCCAGGCTGAGATGGGAGAAAAAAGTGTTTCATCCCATTTAAAAAAATTAAGATACCTGCTGTTAAAGTATTCACGTTCTCTGTGTTTCCCTCCCCCCCCCATACTTCCTGCAGGGGTGTTGGTAGGAATGTGCGTGAAAAATGAAAAGGGTTCCCTTACCACCATGCAACAGAAACATGGTTGTGGCCACTACTGTGATGTTTTTCACACATATATATTGTCTTCTCCGGCTGAGAGAAAGGGAAACCCTGAATAAGTTGGGTAGAGTGGAAGGGGTCCTCAGGAAGGGAGAGGTGAGAAGTTCAAAGAAGGGAAAGCAAATATGTCTCTCTGCCATCAGTTCAGCCATTTGTTTGCTGGGTCCAGGTCTTTCCTGGGGAGTTAAAATGGCCAAGGAGTTGACCCATAGTTACATCCGTGCTGTATGACTATGGAGATTCTCAATCATCCAGGTCATGGTTGTCAAGGTGCTTTTTTCCAAAAGGCAATGGGACTTCCTTAGGTTTTTTTTCTTGGAAAACATCTCACTTTTTATCTAAGAAGCTTCCTCAGTTCTGAGGAGAAGTAAAACGTTAAAAAAAAAAACCTAAGTCCCTCTGTCTTTTGGAAAAAGTACCTTTGGGACACCCATGCTGTAGCATTGACCTTTATGACAAAAGGGGTGGTGTCCTCAACCTTGAAAGAGGCAATGGTGCACCCCCTCCTTAAGAGGCCATCCTTGGACCCAATCATCTTTTAATGACCCCGTAATAATCCCTTGCGGGGTGGAGCCAGGGCAACTGAATGGAGCTGAGTGTTTACTGGCTGGATGCCTTTCCTGTTGCCAATGTGGAGTTATATTCAGCAGATATATTCTCATCCTGCCCAGAGAGAGAATCATCTACCTGCTTCTATCTAGGATTGAACTCACAGCCTCCTGATCGTGAGGCAAGAGGCTTTACCGCTAGGTCACTTCACCGCTTGATCCTTGGACCCCAGTGGTCTTCAATAACTACCAACCAATCTTTAACCTCTTTCTAGAAAAGATTGCTGAAATGGTGGTTGGTCTGCAACCGATGAGAATCCTGATGTACCAGAGTTTAGGGGGTAACTCTCCTTTCCCCCCCAAATCTTCTGAGGAGAGATGCCTTTGTGGGTCTTTGGAATTCCAATTGTCTAAATACCATGAGGCAGGCTGTTCCACAGGAAGCAGCTTCAAATAAGAAGCTGAACAGTGTTGTCCCTACAGATTCCATTAGTGGTGGGACCATCAGAAAGCCCTCTGTCCTAGATCTTGTGAAATTTGGGCAGATTCATGATGGAAGGTATGGTCTTGGAGGTCTTCTAGCCTTGGAGAACTTTAAAGGTGATAACAGGGTCACCTGAATTGTACCCGAGAACTACCTGGGCAGCTCCCTTAATGTGGTATCATAAATAACGGCCTGTCTTCGTAGACTGTATTATGATGCATGCTGAACCAGTGAAGCTTCAAGGGCAGCCCATGTAGGGCAAACTCTAACAGGCCATTGATGAGCCGACAGTGATGTGACTGACAGCATATCGGGATGCACAGTTGTCGAAGAAGATACAATTCTGCAAAGACTTTTCTGCCACGAGTACACCTACGTTGTGGTGTTTCCTTTTCTTATCGGGTGCCTTTAATTTCTGCGGTTCACTATTTTGTGCCCCCCCCCCTTTTTTAACCTTTGCATTAATATTTCTGGGCCTGAAACGGAAGAGCAGCAAATTATGCTGTTTTACTGTTTCAAACGACAGGGTAATCTGCCTGGAGGACTTCAGAGATTGAGCAGAATTCATTTAAACCCAAATAAATAAAGTGGTATTACAATCAGAGGGGCAGCGCGAAACAGTCGCTGGGCTTGTCAGCTGGAAAGACTGCACGCAACAGGGTGAGATCCCATTACTTGCCCCTGGCTCCTGCCCATCCAGCCGTTCAAAAGCATGCAAATGAGAGTAGATAAATAGGTACCACTTTGATGGGAAGACCAGCTGGCTGGTGCACATGCGCGCGCCGGAACCCAGAAGAGCAACAGGAGACGGGCTGGCATGTCCAGAGAGATGGTTCTGCGTGCTACTTCCGGCACACATGCCATAGGTTCGCCAACACTGATCTAGGCCAGGGTCTCCAACCTTGGCAACGGGAATTGAAGTCCTCCAGACTTAAAGTTGCCAAGGTTGGAGACCCCTGATCTAGCGTGTTGGCTATTCCTGCCAGTTGATGAGTATCATCTGCAAATTTTGATAAGTTCCCCTTCTGTCCCCTCATCTAAGTCATTTATGAAGCTATTCTCATCCACCACCAGCCCTGTTCAGGCGATTTCTTTCTTTTGCAACTTTGTGAGTCCCCTTGGCTGTCTTGGAAACTCCCCACTTAAACTGCCGGCTTCCCTTTGCCTTGTGATTGTCACCTGCCTTTTTATTTTTCCTTTTTTTTTTTCTATAAACAAAAACCGGAATTCGCCCCCTTGCCCTGCCGTGTGATTGCAGTTCAGTTCAAACGTGCAAACGCCATCCCGTCGCCAGATACAATCGGGGTGAGGTGGGAAGACCTCATTATTATTTTTTTAATTATTTTTATTTATTTATTTATTTATTTATTTATTTGATTTGCCAATTGTTTACAAGATAATAAGTATAAGTGTATACATAGTTGTGAATACATGAAATGGGTACATATAAGAAAAATAAAAGAAGAATAAGAGAAACAATAGGACAGGGCAATGCACACCCCCTACAGACCTCTTAGGAAAGGGGTGAGGTCAATAGTAGACAGTCTAAGGTTAAAGTTTTTGGGGTTTGGGGAGGAAACCACAGAGTCAGGTAGAGTATTCCAGACATTGACCACTCTGTTGCTGAAGTCGTATTTCCTGCAATCAAGTTTGGTGCGGTTAACTTTGAGTTTGTATCTATTTTGTGCTCTTGTGTTGTTATGGTTGAAGCTGAAGTATTCATTGACAGGTAGGACATTGCAATGTATGATTTTATATACCATGCTTAAATCAGACCGAAGACGGCGTAATATCAGACCGAAGACGGCGTAATATCAGACCGAAGATGGCGTAATTATGCCAAGAGGTACTAACTATTTCGCTTCTCCAGAGGGCTTGGCCTGACCTCCTACTTTGCTAACAAAGTCTCTGTGTGTGTGTGTGTGTGTGTGTGTGTGTGTTTAAATTGACAGGGAAAGACATTAACAGGCTGGCGTCCACGTGCACGTTTGAAAGGGTCCCGCCCAGGAAAAGCGATCAGCCTCTTTACTGGAAAGGGAAACTCTCTTTTTTCCGCCCCCTCCCCCCCCCCAAAACGCTCCTGTCCCGTCCAACGCAAGACTCCGGGCCGGGTTTTGGACGCAACTCTTGAGTATAGTAGCCGAGGGCAGTGTCAGTGCCTTTTTTTTTTTCTTGTTGTGTTTCTGTTACACTTCGCCATCTTGTTACAAAGCCTTTTTCTCGTCTGGAAGCTTCGTAGAAGCTCGGCTTTGGCGGGCGATAGTTTTGGCCGGCGTTGCGGGTTTTCTATTTATTTTTATTTTTGGAAGGCGGGGGAAGAAGATCCACCAGCCCAGCAAGATCCCGCAGGGGGGGGAGGGAGGGCGTCGGGGGAAGTGAGGAGGTTTTTTTTTTTTTTTGCCCCTTTATTATGGTTTTTATTGGGGGGGGGGGGGTGGGGGGAAGGGGAACTTTGAAGTCTCCCAAGACTTTGGATCCTTCCCCGAGGCGCCGTCTTCAAGCAATGAGCATTGAGACCTTGTTAGAAGCGGCCAGATTTCTGGAATGGCAAGCTCAGCAACAGAAAACACGTGGTAAGTGAGCGCGGGGGGGGGGGGAGGCGGTGGAAGAAGAGGCACCACCACCCCCGGGAGGGTGTGCAAAAGAGCGTGCAAAATTCGGAATGAAAAAAAAAAAGAGAGAGAGAGAGAGAAAAAGGATCGCGGCGCTGGGTGACAGAGGCAGCACCCCCCCTTTCTTAAATCCCCCTCCGTTTCCCAAAGGGAATTTGCTGCGGAAAGGAAGCGAACAAAGTTTTTGCAGCGCAAATTTGGCAAGGGCATCCTTTTCTTTCCAAGAAGCCCCAAACACGGGAAGGAAACCCGCGTGAATGCAGTGGGATTCGGGAAGTTGTCTCCCCCACCACGCACACACACCCGTGCAAAGCGCGCCTATGGATCGCTCGTGACCTGGGTACACTTGGGTGGATGGGTGGGTTTTTGGGGGGTGATTGGTTTCGTGTTTTTTTTTTTTTTGCACGACGCCCCATTGCCTTCGTCGGAACTCGCTTCCGTGTTAAAAAAACAAAAAAAAAAAAAGCACGGTGGTGGATCGTGCCCGTTTTGGTGCGGGTTGGATCGAACGTGAGGGTGGGGGGAGCGTGTGGAGGCGCTTGATTTCCCTTTTGATCCTGAGAAGCGTGTTTTTGGGGGCTGTTTCTCAGCTGAGATGTTGTAATGAAAGAGAAGTCACCTGATTTGTCGTCAGTTTCCTATTTGGAAGTTTCTGCTCTGTCTCCTTTACCCCCCCACCTCAAGATTCCTCCCCCCCGTCCGGGAGATAGATAATAAATAGATAGAGATTATATTTCGTTTGAATCGAAATTATGGGCGGGGAGACTAGAAAAGCGGGGTGTTTTCAAGGGAGGGGGCCGATTACGCAAGGGGCGACTGGGTGAGCCTCCTCGCCATTGTCTCTCCACACGTCTACTCTGAAGTAAAAGCGCCGATGATGACTTAATCGGGGGGGGGGGTTGATTGCCGGGCAACACAGCACGTATCTTCTTTTAAAAAGGATCGCAGCTTCCGAACCGAGTCTAGTTTCGGATTCTGCTTGGACTCTTTTCTTTTCTAAAGATTTGCTGACACATGCTAGCCGGAAAGTTAAAAAAAAAAAATTCGTTTCCTGCAGACTTTAACAGCGGTTCCTTCCTTGCAGGCTCTCCCTTAAACAAACACACATAAAAAAAATATCGATCTTTTCCCGCTTTGCAATGAGACGGAGCGGCGGCGGGGGGGGGGGCGAAATAACACCTTGGTCCATCTAATCGCTGAGTTAAAGCAGTCCCCCCCCAATAAAATTAACCTCGATTCATTAGGAAGGCTTTCCAATAGGTTCCCGCCTCCATCGCCAGGCAGCGCCCGGTTTCTTCTCCGCGTCCGAAAGCTGCTTTTTCTGTGCCCCCCCCCCTCCTTTTCCTCACCCCCCCCCCGGTTCCTTTCCCAACCCCCCCCCGCAACTTTTAATCCCAACGCGTGGCAGACTGAAAGAGGCGGGGTGAGTTAAGATGTCATGTAGTTATGCGCCAAACGGGTGGGTGGATTGGAATCGACCTTCCCCGCAAGCCTAAATTAAAATAAATTGGAAAAAAACAAAAACCAAGAGAAAGCTGTTGAGAGGGGAAGACCCTCCCCTCTCCGCTCCCCAGTTTTCCTTTGGGGTAGGGTGATGCATGTCCCTTCTCCAGCCCTCCCGATCTGCTGGATTGCTTTGGATCTGCTGGATTTCCTTGGAGGAGGGGGGGGGGAAACGACACACACATGCCTTTCACTCCCGTTTGGCGCTTCCCAGGGCGGTGGCGGCGAGGCAGTGCCTATTTCCCACCCCCCACCCCCGTTTTTCCCCTCCCCTCCCTTTTATTTGCATGATGAAAATGACACGGGGGGGGGAAGAGGAGGAGGGAAATCATATGATAATACTTAATACTTGTTCCGCCTCTCTCTCTTCTCTCTCTCTCTCTGTCCTCCCCCCGCCCCCGTGTAGTGAGACGCCTTTATGAGAAATGTGCTTCAAGAAGGCTCCGCTCGTTTGAATATGCTGGGGGATTTTTTGGGAAGGGTGGAAGCGGGGGAGGAGAGAGAAAGCGCTGGTGGCGACGGGGCTGAAAGTAAAAATAAAAAGTGGGCGGGGCTTGAAGGAGAGATGCGGTAGCGCGTGGTCGGGATCTAAGGGCACAATGGAACGTTGGCGTCGCCTCTGTCTCAACCCCCCCCCACCCTTTCCTTTCTCCCTCCTCCTTTTCGCCCTCCCCCCCCAAGGTTTTGGAACGTTGCGTGTTTGCTCTGCGTTCCAAACGCCTCCCATTGGCTGAGGGGAAGCGGATGACGTGTCGAGGCCCCGCCCCCGACCACGTGCGCTGGGGGACACATCCCTCTGGGGCGGCTGCTCCGGCCTTGCGAGGGTTGCGTGCCTGGAAAGGCGTGCGAGAGAGAGAGAGAGAGAGAGTGTGTGTGTGTGTGTGTATCCGCGAGGTGGGGGGAGGGAGAGAGAGAAAAAAAAAGGAAGGTGCCTTCCCTTGTCTGAGGGAAGCGCGAATAAAGAAAAAAAAAGGGAGAGGGGGAGATGATCAGAATTACGACATAATGCTACAATGTGGGGCCCCCTCCCTTTCCCTTGGCATTCTTTTTTTATAAATCCTTTATGGGTTTTTCCGGCTTCTGGAACCGACCTCTCTCTGCATCCATGATCATCTTAGATCTATTTGTGTATTTGACAATTCAGGAAAGATTCGTGCCAGGGGGCAATGTATTTTTTATTTTTTTAAAAAAACGCCCTTTTACTGCAATCTGTCTATCATTATTATTCCAGCAAAGTATAAGGAAGGTTGCTTCTGAGACCATCCTCATTCCCCTTTTGAAATTGCCATATTTTCTGTTTTGTTTTGCTTGCTTTTTGTGTTTTTAACGTTTATAAAGAAAACTAAAGCTGCTTAACAGGCTACTTCTCTACAATCCTAGTGGATTCTGGAAATAGTTGAAGAACAAGATTCCCCTGTTTGGTCCCGCAGTCCCCCTTGTTTACTTCTGAAAAAGAAAAAAACGCTTAATATTTATACTGAATTTGCCCTGGCCCCCTAATTCTAATAACCTTCTGGCTTTCTCCTTATATAACAGCAAACATTCCTAATGATAGCATCACAAGTACAGGGAATCTCAGAGCAATGACATGTCCCCAGTACATAATTCTTGGCTTAACAGTGGTTTGCTTAGTGACTATTTGAAGTTACAAGGGCACTGAAAAAAGTAACCAAGGACCCACATTACCTTCGCAGCATCCCCAGGGTCACATGATCAAAACTCGGGCCCTTGGCCATTGCTTTGTGTATATAATAGTTGCAGCATCCCAGATTTGTGTGATTGCCATTTGTGGCCTTCCCAGCCAGCTTCCAACCAGCAAAGCTAGTGGAGGAAACTGGATTTGCTCAACAACTCTGTGATTCACTTAAAACACCCGCTTTGCTTATCAACAGACATTCCGGCTCCATTTATGTTTGGGAGGATGACCTGTACCCCATTTTAAATCTACATCTCAGGAGGAATTAAAAAAACAACAACTAGGTGTTGCTGCTAAAAATAAAAGAGCAGCAATGGTTTGGATTGGGTTGGTCCTATTGTGTGACCACCAATCTAAAAGCATGTAGACATACTCAAAGTTGGTCTGCTGGTTAATTGCACGGTTAAATCAATGTTTATAAATAATATATCCCAGAGAATCAGGTGGGGGGGGGGAAGCAGGAGGGAGCTTGGATTATTTTGCATCTGATTTGTGAACTTGCCTCCAGGCATAAGATTTGAATTGACATGTTACTCTTAAGTTGGAATGAATATTTGTTTGCTTTGGACCTAGAGCCAGGAATCTCAAAGCATTTTAACCTAATCCATCTCTGTTATGGGAAAATAGTGAGAATCTTTCCCTTTAAAACTGTTCCTATTGCCCGTAAGGTCTTATTAAGATTTTATTTTCAAGGAATCCTTTTCTTGGCATGCAGTTCAGTGGATGTGTCAGACATTTGATGGTTCTTGTATGGCATATTAACCATCTTCCAGTTGGGGACACCCTAACTTGGTCAACAAGATTTCTTCATAGGTCTCCTGGACCCTATTTCTATTCTTCTGGACTGTGGACCCAGCTTCTCGGGAATGTTTTCATGGATGTATAATATGAGGCTGGGATGTGGTCTTGGAGATGTTCTAGTTAACTCCCTGCTCATTGCAAGAAGCCACTACAGCACCTCTGATAAATCGTCATCTAGCTTCTGTTTCAGCCTCTGAAAAGGAGTCCACCACCTCCAGTCTGTCCCATTGCTGAACAATTTTTATGATTTATTTCAGATATCTGACTGAAATTGCTTTCTTCTAATTTACACCCATTGTGTCTTATCTTCTGAGATAACAATGAAGAATTCTACCTTGTCTTCCACATGATAACCCTTCAAATACTGCACAAGCCTGTTCTCACCACAGTTTTTCTCCTGCAAGCTAAGCATACCCAGAAATGAACTGTCCCTCATATTTTTTTTTTTTCTTACGTGGTTTGATCTCTCTGGAAATGTTCCACTTTCTCGTTCTTTGGATTTCAACCTCTTCATGTTATTTCCTTAAAATATGGTGTCCAGGTTCAGGCCCGGTATTCTAAATGCTATCTGGCAGCTCAGAATAGAGAGGAATTGTAACTTTTCTTGATCTTAATACTTTCTGTTGATCCAGAATAGAAATTCATTTCTTCTCCCTGTTGCATTACGCTCTTGGCTATTGTTCAGTTGGTAGCCCTCCAGAATATGTTAAATTTTTACATGGCCTACTCCTTACTATGTTGCCAATGTCCGATGCACATGCCTTTGATTTTTCTTACTCAAATAAAGGATTTTCGTAGCCATCTCTACTGAAATTCATTTTGCTGGGCTTTTCCGGAACTCCATTCAGCACTCCCAATTTCATAAGAGATGGACATTATTTGGTTTTGCTTGTTCAGCAAACTCTAATGATAGCATAGATTGGTCCCTGTTTTACCACATTCTCTGCTCGGATTTTTAAAG